GCCATTGTTGTTTTCACTGTTGTCACACTCCCATAGCAGCTGTAAGTCGTCCCTCTCAGGACGCTGGTTGGTCTGAACCATTGTGGCTCAGACACAAACACACTGACTAGAAGCCTGGCAAGATGGATCCTAGTTATCTTGTGAACGCGGCTTTGTCGCAACGTAACAGATCCTCTACAGTCCAAGGAAATATCTTAGAATTAGCATTAATCCTGCGTTATCAATCATGCTGTAAAAGCTGGTGCATTTTAAAAATATCGCCATTTAAACATTCACCAACATACCGCATGTTATCTCATGCAGAGAACTCTTTATGCAAATGTCCACCGTCCATCTCATGCCTGCACATCAACTAACTACATCCATTCATCATTCGTCAGTTTGCCTCGACCTCAAAGCTCAGCTGTGTTTTTAAGGTTGAGTTGTACAGACTGCAGCTTGGATCTGCTGTTCGTCTGGTGTTATCCTTCCTCTGAGAGGAACAGAGCAGCCATTAAAAACCGAAGCGTCTCCTGGCTGACCTTATCACTGAATCCACCTCAGGAGCAGGAAATTCATCTTTCCTGACAATCCAGTGACGGCACGACTGCATGCATCAAGTCAGCGCGCTCTGACAGCCTCACGCAGGGAGAAGATAAAAGTGGCAACACCGTATCACCCTGATTTTCTGCTTGGACAGCATGCAGGCCTGGGATGTTTCTGTGATATGGATTAGGAAGCAGACTGTCACCGGTTGGCTTCTTAGCCATCACGGTGGGTTTCTTCAAATAGGGCTCATCCAGGGGTATAACCTGACTTCTTATCAATAGAAACAGGTTCATTGTTCTCCTTAGTGAGTTATTTTTCTGACATTTCATCTCAAGTAAGGAATAAAACAGGTTTATTCTGTGTACTGAAGAACTCCCGTGTATTGCCCCCCAGATCTACTGCATTCGTGTCAGTCGATAAACGAAGTGTTACAAATGACACATCCCCCTTTGAGGAGTGCAGGAGAAGACAGCTAGTCGCAGAAGAGAGAGGGTTGATTAAACTAATCTGACAGAACCAATACGAGCACAGCCAGGAAACAAGCACTGAAATACCTTCGGGCTAATGTAAAGAGTTTCCTGTGGGCAGGAGATTAAGCACGAACACAGCAGGATACTTCTACGCTGTTCGTCATTCGCGGCTCAGCTTCTCGCGACTCGGTGGCTCCAGGGGTTATGACAACTAAACGCAGTGAGTCACCGGGTCAGCGGGGTGGGAGGAGGGGGAATAGAAATAAAAAAGCTTTTCCTGGGATAGAAAAATACCTCGCCTTACAAACACAGTGCGTGAAGAACAAACAACAGAAGAGAACAAATTCTAGCAAAAACAACAATTCTGAGCTCATTAAGATGCTTTATTCCATTTCTGTTTTATCCTCTGGAGCCTCATGTGTCCATGAACAAAACATAGAAATACTGCATCTACAGCACTGACCTCTGACCTTTATACACCACTGTAGTATTATCATCAAATGGACTCAATCAAATCTCTATTAACTGTCTCTGAAAGGCAATAAGTGACTTAACTAAAACTTATGAGTAGTAGTAGTTAATATTAATAATATCATTATTTCTCACTATTATAAGAATCAGATAGACATTACAAACTTCCAACCTTCATCTACAGCACTGACCTCTGCCCTGTATCTGTCCTATTCCTACACAGCAGACCTACATCTCCATATTTCATTCATTTCTGTAAAGAAAACTTGAATTATTCTTAAAAGTATAGTACTGTTCTTAAAGTTTAGATTATTTAAGTTCTAAACTTTAAAGAGCTAAATACAAGAGATCAGACAAGATTATCTATCTATCTATCTATCTATCTATCTATCTATCTATCTATCTATCTATCTAGGGTTAATATACAATATTGTTAAGAATAGTTAAATAATGTGTAATATAGGTTTGCATTAATGTTACTGGAGACTTGTGGGGGTCCCGGCACATGTTGAAGAGGTTTTGATCTTGATGGACCAGAGTGTTCAGAGGGTGGGAGGGGTCGGCCACAATCTTTCCAGCTCTCCTCAGGGGCCTGAAGGGACGGCAGGTATCAGCCAATCACCTTCTCATCAGAGCCACTAATAACGCTGCAGTCTGCCCTTGTCCTTGGCGGTGGCAGCAGCGTAGCAGATGGTAGCTGCCAGTCAGCAGCAGAACATGAATGTCTGCAGTAGAAAGGTTCTGCAACATCAAGGTTGAGCTGAGTCGATATGCCAACTCTTCCCGCCAAAAATATTTAGTTTCTGCCATTTTTATGCAAAAGAACTACAAAACTGAGCTGAGATAACTCTGTATGTCTCAGTTCCTCCAGTAAAAGTTGAGACTGCACATTTAAAGCAAACTGAACCAATCCTCTTGAATTTTGAATCATAGCAGTTCACTATTCATCAGTCCCTCCAGGATTTCACTTTTTGGATTGTTGCAGCCTCAAATAT